AAGCTCAAAAACCGTGAGTTCACCCTGACGGCGGACATGAAGAAGATGCCGTGCGGTCTGAACGGTGCTGTGTACTTTGTGGAGATGGATGCGGACGGAGGCAAAGCGCGCAGTGGAGGCAGCAATGTGGCTGGGGCCAAGTACGGCACTGGCTACTGCGATGCGCAGTGCCCCCATGATATGAAGTTCATGAACGGCAAGGCCAATGTCATCGACTGGAATGCCACTCATGACCCTCCCATAGGCTCCTGGGGTATCTGCTGCGCAGAAATGGACATTTGGGAAGCGAACAGCAGGGCCACAGCCTACACACCGCACCCCTGCAGCATCACGGGTCCATACGTCTGCGAGGGGATTGAGTGCGGTGACAATGACAAGGACCAGCGCTATGATGGCGTCTGCGACAAAGATGGCTGTGATTACAACCACTGGCGCCTGGGTGATGAGCGATACTATGGCCGCGGTAGGCGCTTCACTGTGAACTCAAAGAAGAAGGTCACGGTTGTCACGCAGTTCATCACTGAGGGGAACCGAGACGATGGGGACCTCATTGACATTCGACGGTTCTATGTGCAAGACGGGCAGGTCATTCCAAACTCCAACATCTCCATTGCGGGCGTGACGGGCGACTCCGTCACGGATGCAGTTTGTGCAGAAATGAAGACGGCATTCGGAGACATCAACGACTTTGCCCGAAAAGGTGGCCTGAAAGCCATGGGGGAAGCCTTGGACCGAGGTATGGTTCTCGTCATGTCCTTGTGGGACGACTCGGAGGCCAACATGCTGTGGCTGGACTCTGACTACCCGCTGGACAAGGATCCGAGTGTGCCAGGTGTGAATCGGGGACCGTGCAGAACGGACACGGGCCTCCCTGCTTACCTGCGTCAGAAGCAGCTGGGGCAGCACTAGACGTCTTGAGCTTCTTATTTAACCGTGGGACCTGCGTAGCTTGCTTGACTGAGGTATCCCCGCGCCCAAGTGCAGTACAGCAAGGTCAAGGTGGGCACGATTGGCTCGACCTTTGC